TAGAAACAATAACAACTAAAAACACAATATATTTCCTTTTTGACAATAATCAAAAAATCTTTTCAACGAAAATGGTGTACAGTCAAACCTGTTTGAGCGGTCACCTGAAATAAGCAGCCACCTCCCTTATGTGGCGAGTCTATGGTCCGCCCGATAGATTTTTTTAATAATGAACCTGAAACAAGCAGCCACCTTATAATGCGGCCAGTGGTCACAAAACTCTGGCCGAAACGTTATCTCCACCTGTATTCAGCGGTCATTTTGTCCAGAAATTGACATCAAGAAATTCACAATATATTAACAAGAACACATCTCAATAGAGCAAAGCTAATTACAATGTGTAATTCAAAACCATAAGTAAGGTTTGACACGTTGAATTGACAAGTTGTTTACACAGCGATTTTCAGCTTGTAAATTGGGGCAGGTCCTATCGACCAATCAACAATGTTTTACATACATAACAATTAATCCCACCTTCTGTACTCAATCAGCTTGTGATTTTCAAAACAAGTATGATCTTTTGTGGTATCTGTACATTCTGTATCCAAAGCTACTCAGGTCTAATATGGTATGTGATCAAAAAACCTGCCGCTATTTTGCATGCGGAAAACAAATCTGCTTCCGGTCTGCCAGTCACTATTCCTATATCAACGAAGCACACACCATGTCAAAAGGGTAAATTTCACAGCGCAGACGCTGAATCAGATTTATTTTTCATTACTATGTCGTGATTTATTTCTATAATATATTTATTTGGTTTTTAATAGCTGTGCAAGATCAGAACATGGTGTTAACCTTTCCATACGGCACATGGGTGCTGTGAATAAACCGTTACGTTAAGTTGAAAGCTCAAAGATTCTTGCAAAGTGCTAGATTTATTGAGTGATTTATTTATAAATCGTACCCCTGTTGATAAAGGGAGAACAAAATCAAAATAACATAGCAGCCTATATTGCCGGGAAAATGTCATTATAACCCGTAGATGTATGAAAACTTGGTTGTGATTTTCGGGCGAGCCTGGTTTTAGCAGCAACTTGTCTTAAGCGGTCAATTTCAGCCGGTCCCTTGGGTGGCCTCTTGATACAGATTTAACTGTATATTGTAAATTAAGCAGTCGTCGTCAGTTGTTTACGACAATAACGTTTACTTTGGATCGATTTCCGGCACCATGCTGTTAGGACGGCATGCCCCGATTTTGGCATTTTTCAACGTAGACACGGGGAAATCAACTTGTAATGCAAAAGAGAATAGAAAAACCATTGCTTCATTGAATCTGCATGATTTTCTCACACGACGTGTCAAGGCAATATTAATATTAATGGAATTAAAGACATGCTCGTTTTCTTATCAGAATTTGTGTCAGAAAATGTCGGCAGGTTAACGGAGCCATGTAAGAGATGATTTTAATCAGATTGGCCTAATCATTTCCATTTCATACACTGAACTACAGTCTTATTTAGATAGCAATTGACTACCGCACATGTTTTGTTATGACTAGAAAGCGATTGTCGATATATTGTTTTCCACTGACGGGGGTGACGCGAGGTGTGAAAATTTAACCCGGAGTGGACAGTTGATCACCACGCGCGATGTTAAGTTGGTAAATTGTTCAATTGTCCTGGTGTCAAACACGGACAACTTACCTGAGTTTTTACCTTATAAAATCCTTTCAAGGCAGAAAAAAATAATAAGCGGGGTTCAACCTTTGACCATATCATAATAAACAATTTGTTTAGCTTAGTTAAAGGATAAAATCGGTAATTTGGAAAAGAATTATAATACGCGACATCATAATAAGTAGGTTAACCACTCTAATACAAAACAAAATCCTATAATACAGCAAAGATATATTTTCACAACTAAGTGATGATATTATGGAACGTCGCGATCGTTGGAGATGGATTGGCAATGTACTAAGAATGGACACCAACAGCATATGTTCAGTGGCACTGACATGGAAACCAGACGGGAAAGGAAGGTAGGAGGTCCCAAAAACCACCTGGAGACTGTTGAGACAGAAAGAACAACACTTGGATGGAACAGCTGGGCTACAGCAAAGACAACAGCTAAAGACCGTGTCAAATGGAAAGAATATATCAGGGCCTTTAATGCTGACGGACATGAAGAGGATATAGGTGAGGTGTGATTTTCACAACATAAAACAGTAAACGGAAACACCGAGTTATTAAATTGAATAAATGTGTAACAAGTTTGTAAAAAACATGTCTTTCTATCCCTGTCTTGAATACACCGCATCATGTTTCATTAATGTTTGATAGAGAAAATATCGCACTCCATCTTTTGCCGTTAATTATCTGTAAACAATTCATGGATATTATCAAATATTATGTGTATTACCAAAGACATATATATACAAAATATACGTCTCTGCTAGTACTTCTTTTAATTTTTACTTGTGTTACAAAAGCGGCACAAAATCATCTAAAATCTGACTGATACGGTTAGTCTAATATTACATCTGAGGGAGATAAAGCTTTGTGCTAACTCACAAATATGGTTCGACCCTACAAATAGACCGACTTCATTCAAATACGGCTGATCAGGTTAGTCCAATGTTCTACTAAGGGAGATAAGGTTTTGCAGAAATACAGGTAAACCGCGGCGGTAATATTTTTTATTAATTGTATACTCACACAATACATGCATTGTTGAACTTTTCACATACATATGGCTAGTTAAGAAAGTATCGAAGTGAATGCTTTCTCTGTCTATTAGTTGGCAAACCACAAAATGGCGTCACTACGGTATGAATGAAAATGCTAAGGGTCGCTGCCGAAAACATTTACATAAGAATGAAAAGTGAATGCCATCCAGATAAGGAGATATCAGATACCGTATACCGTATAAGGGCAGAGAGTCCATAGAAGGTCATAGATGGCGTAAGTATCTACTGTGCAATTCCACGCTAACTTCGTAGTATGAGCGATCCCCTAGACACTTGCGTTACCTAACGCGTTACCCGAGGCTGAAAAAGGTTGTAAAAACCAGGATCCACAACATCAGGTGGAAGGTTATAATATCTGAAAACTTTCGTTGAAATTGGCTGAGTAGTTTTGGTGAAGTTGTCCAGGCAATCATTTTTCAACAAAGGACAATAACTTTGTAAAAAGGGTCAAATGAAAAAATAATAACTTGATGCACAACTTCAGGTGGTAGATATCATATCTGGAAAGTTTTCTTGAAATTGGTCCATTACTTTAGAAGGAGTTGTCCGGACAAAAATATTCAGGATTTATTCAACAAAGGGCCATAACTTCGTAAAAAAAAGGGTCAGAATGAAAAAATGGGGGTAATAAAAATCGCATATAAACAGTTGTAACAGATATACTGGAATGGTTAAAGGCATGTATCAGTGAAATATTACAAGTAAAACAACAAACAGACAGAATTTCAAAGATAAAAAATACTTTTCCATCAAAATATAGAAACACTGAATATAAAATAGCCTTGAAGTTGGAAGTTTTGTATCGGATGCAGATTTCATTCAAATTAGCTCAGATTTTTAAAAAAAATCTCAATCTATTGGGTTTGAATAAAGCAACGCAGGACATAAGGAAAAGCCTTGCCAAAGACAAGAGCCATCTGGAATATTGCATATCCCTTTGCATACAAACTAGTAACAGGTCATGTATATATTTTTAAATGTATAATGATAGGATTTCTATCGTGAAAATAGTTATTTATAAGGATATTATTTTACAGAAGCACTGTTGAGCTTAAGATAACACTTAAAGATGGATTTCATAAATCTTGTATGACATTGAAGTGAATTCACTGTCCTGTTTAGCACATTTACAAGAGCACTTCTTCTGTGGCCATCCCAGTTCTTCTACGTCCGTCTCTTTACGTTATGGCTATTTTCTCTCTCATACCTGTTTGTGAAAGACTGGAATTCACTTGAGTAAAAAACAAACCTGTCTTACCTATCTTTCCCTTGGGCAAGACAGCCTACACGCGCTATGATGTCATGACACACTTTTGGATTCTTTACCTCTTTCTTTTGACGGCATCCTCGGTTCTCCCATCCTCTATATCCAGGGGTTACGTTCACTTTCGCTCTCTACACCCCTGGAATATGTCATAGCAAAATTGAAGGCACAAAGCTCGCTGTTTGATAGGCCTCAGGTAAAATAAACTGACCAATCGCTAGGCCGATACCTGTTCTTTGAAGATTACAAAGGAGAGACGCCCAACTTCAAAGCCTGTCATTGTTTACCGTTATGTGACTGCAATATTCTATTGATGTTTCTCAAAGGATCGATCTAGTCTTCTTGTCTCATCAACAAGGTGGCACACACTGAGCCTTCAATTTTGCTATGACATATTCCAGGCATGCAGAGAGCGAAAGTGAGTGTAACCGCTGGATATCGAGGATGCGGTTCTCCATCTCACTACTGTTTTGATTTACATGACGTCGTTCTGTTGTGTTGACCATGTTAAATGAATGATTTTTGTACTTATTATTGAAATATACTTTAACACTAACTACATTGAGTCTGTAATGTCCATGTTGCATTAGGTATTTGAAGGATTTACGGGGTTAGAGTTCAGGAACCTGCGCATTTAACCCTTGAAGTGAGATGGAGAATCACAACCCTCGGGAAAAGATTCTAAATTTGCAAAACATTCGGAAAACATAGGTGTTTGAAATTAATTGATTAATCCATGGATTTACTTTCAAATTATCTGCACAATTTTTTTTTTAATTAAGTGGTATATTTTTCAATACCTGCACCTGTATTCCAAGCACTGGATCACATGAAATCAAGTCAATGAAAAAAGTAGGAAAGGATGCAAAAAGTTTCTTGGACGGTGACATGTGCCTCAAGGGACAAATAATATAGAATGCGTTATAGGTAAAATATAACTAAGATGTATGGAAAAGCAGCAAGTGATGCTTAATGTTTATTCAATGTAATAACATTTTCTTGCATCTTTTACAAAGAGAACACTCTNCCTCCCCCCACCCCCACCCCCACTGGTCTATTTTTAGTAACAGTAACAATGACCTTGACTTTAAACAATTTTTTAACCTTAATGCACATTAATTTACACAGTGCATCACTGTCAAATTAAAACATAATATCATTAAAAAATTAATAAATAATGAGTTAAAAATTCAGTATCAGCATAGGGAGCAAACACATGAAAACACTTAAAATTACAATGAATAAAAAGATACCAAATTTTGACTATCAAATCACAGAAAAGCATGCATTCTCTCCCTCTGTCTCATTTAACTGTTCGTTCTGGATGGGGATAAGCTACCCCAAATTGTTGACACAGTTTCTTTATTGTCTTTTCATATTCCACGTTAAGCCTGGCAGCCTGTTGAAATGCAAATTTGATATCTTCTATTTCCTCAAAGAAACCCTGAAAGAAAGAAATTAGCAATCATATTAAATTTCATAACTTGGTATATTAAAATGAACCCTTGTATGTCACCTACATTTGAAAGCTGTCGGAGACCCTAATACTTTATATTATTATAATCATGTAAACATTGGTTTCATTCCCAATCACTGGATGTTTATTTTCTGAATTCTTATCAAAGCATATTTTTTACATCTAATTTTCGAAAGCTCCAAGACTGAGGCATGCATACATCTTGTAAATTATATGATTTTCTGTCTGAAGGAAAATTTCAAAAAGCAAACAAAAATTGTGTTATCAGCTTGGAACAACCCCATATATGTTTAAAATGTCTATGCTAATATTTGGGCACACATTTAATGGTGGTCTGACATGAAATTTATGTAAGACATAGTTTACAAAGTTGATTCTCGGGTGCATTGGGTATCACAAAATTTCTTTACACTACATGTAAAAGCAATCTTTACTGAAATGTTTCAAATTTCACATCTCTTCATGGTTATCGAGTGTTCGATTCGAACATCGAATGTTATAGACTGATCATAGATTTATATCTATTTCAAGGAAAGTTTTCATAAATGAAGCTCTTCAAATAAACTAATGTATTTAGAATCAAGATTTTTTTCTGTTTTTTGAATAAGAAATATTATCAATGATTCCTTGGCTAGCTACTTACCAAGTCCAGGCCTTTTAACTCCTCCTTCAATTTCTTGTTTTCCTTGCGAAGTTTTCTACACTCTCTCACTACATGTCTGTCCTTAGATTCATCTTTAATGCAAGAAAAAATTACAAGCTAAACACAATGAACCTTTGTTAATTTTCTCATACTAAAGGCAGCTGAACAAAGGAGAAACAAAATGTCCATCTAATATATATAAACTAATATTGTTCATTTTTTTTTTTAATGTTTTATCAATTTGGTTTAGTTTGGTTGCTTGTGCTTAACATCTTATTAACAGTTATGGTCATTTAAGGATGTGCCAGTTGTTTGATGGTGGAGGAAAACCAGTAGAGTACCCGGAGAAAAAGCACTGAACTATGACAAGTATACCTGTTGACTGCCCCATGTAGGCCTCAAAGCTGCAAGCAAGAGGTGGAGGGCTAGTGATATTAGATGTCGTACACCTTACACGGTAACCAAATGGTCACTGCAGCCCCTGGCGATTGTTTGTTAACATTTAAACGTAATAACAAAGAAGTGTATATTATTTGACATAATTTACCTTCATCAGAGGAGAGTTCCTTTCCATGCTTCCCAACATTTCCTGCCTTCACCTTTGCCGTAGCTTTGGAAACTCTTAAACTGTGTATCTCTTTCTCCATTTGTTGCACATTTTCCTTCTCCTGTTGTAGTCTTTTCTCTAAGGTAGATATCTTCATCTAAGAATAATAGCAAATATACTGAACAAAGCACCTAGGAAACATATGATATAATGTTAACTCATACTTATATATAACTTGCTCTGTTCTTCATAATCTGTCAGTTATCTCTAAACAGTATTCAAACTATTAACATTTAAAAGTTTATTAAAACAGTATATTTCTTTCCGTATGGAAGATATCATCTTTGCAAAGAAAAAATATTGAAGGTACCCTGTCCCAACAACGGACTTAGATAATCTACTTCTGTGGTCCCAACACACTGCATGTTTTGTTTTACATATTTACAATAACTTCACTTAATTTTCTTTTTGACATAACTGTAGCACAGTTGGCCAGGACACTTCCCTAGACCAGGTAGCTCAAGCGTTTAGATATAGTATAAAGGTCAAGCAGAGGTCACAGTGACCTACATTTTATATATGACACTCCACCATCCAAAGGTGTTCTTGCATACCAAATCTGGTTACTTCAAGTGAAATAGTATAGAAAATATACTGTACAAATGACCAGTGAAGCGTAGCTGAATTAAGTCATTTCGGTACATTTACGGTGTAGCCGAATCAACATCGATTTTTGGACAACTCGTACACATTTTACACCTTGGTGTACATAAGCTTCACTGGTCATTTTTCTGATGAAGGTGACAGATGGTACATACCGTACAAGTCGTCAAATCATCACATAGAATCACTCATAGGTTGTGTTACAAGAATCATTTCATAATCCAAACTTACCAGCCCGAAGAAAATGTTTAGAAACATTTTATTGCATGTTGATGAAAATCTACCAATTAGCTTAGGGACCTGTCATTTGAAAGTTTTGCACACACAATGAGCATAACCACTCAAATTAACCTCACAAATGTCACACAAAAAATTTACCTGTAATTCCGTAATGGTCTCTAGGTGACCTAAATTCATTTTGACCTCTTTTTCGTATCGTCTCATCACATTGCTATGCATGGACATTAACCTACATGAAGAGAAAAAGACTGTCACTATTATTACAATATCATCACGGCTAAGGTTTCTACAATAACCTTAACCCTTTCACCCCTACGTAACTTAAGTAGACTCTACCATGCATTGATCTGGATGAGTCCATTAAGGTCTACAGTGGTGAATTAAAAGGGTTAATTAAGGGAAACTTAACCTGGTTGTAATATAGTGTGTTCATCTGCTGGAACAGCTCTTACACAGATTAATTAGCATTAAATAAATCTGCAATTCAAGGACTGAAATCAATAGATAACTTCAGAATTAACTCCCTCTTGAAATATTATTTCAGGGATTGCTCTTTCATCATTGTTGTTTCAGAATAAGACACATTACAATCTGATACTACAAACTCAATTGACTTCAGCATGATGTCTAGCCTTGTGGGGCTAGTAAATCATGTTAGGACATAAGTATAAATTTTATAATATTTACTTTGATAGAAAATATTGGTAGGCTAGAATTTGTTTTCGTGTTAATTTGTCTGTATGCTAATTCCGTCTTTGCATATTGCAGAGTTATCTTCTCTTGTCAGCAGGTATTGATTGTTAAGTCATTGGTTTGTTTGAGAAAATAACATCGTTTTCTCAAAAATTGATGACGTCACTCTCACAAACAAATGACGTAAAAATCAATACCTGCTCACAAGAGCAGATAACTCTGCAATATGCAAGGTCGGAATACTGTAAGAAGGAAATTATACACTCCTGTGTAGATCTGTACTTAAAAAAAATGTTTATTATCAAACCTGTTCGTATTGCCACCTTCTGTGATCTTGTTAGCAACAGTGTCTTCATTTTTCTTGGGAGCGACCGGGTGCCAAACTCTACTTGGGTCTGTCTGTGTACTGGACCTGTATAGGAATAATACTAAAACTTAAAACAGTTCAGGAAATATCAGGGCTATATTTCAGATATGAATTCATAGTTTACAAAACCGTATATAGACAATTATGATTATTGTGGGTGAGGGTGTCCAAAAAATTCTGAATAGTATTTTGAGGGACCCAGAAAAGCAAAGCATTGACTGAAATGATAATGAGAAATAAATGTAACGAAACCCCAATCCTGCATCTTTCTTAAACTAGAAAGAAGGCGGGTAAATTTTCCAAAATGCAACTTCATAAAAGTGGACAGACAAAGATTTACAATAACAGTCAAAATGACTTGCAGTTCTGTGCGAGAAGCAGTTTTTCATAAAAAATATACTTTTTATGTAGGTATTAGGGTACCACCACTGTTACTTTTGTGAAATATTTGTTTGTTTAAGTCCTTTTTTAAAATAAGTATTCAATAAAAAGCACATGTTGTGATGCATTTTATAGAATTACAGTTGTTCGAAATTTTGAAGTTTTTAATATTAAAAGGCCAAATAAAAAAAAATGGTGTTTCCGGTAACCCCTCCTACCATATTTTTTTTACCCTACTCTAAACTTTTGAAGGCAATTTTCAAAGAAAATACTGTTAAAGTCAAGATCACTCTCCTGTACATTGTACAAACCATATAAAATTATTTGTTAAAATATTTTTTTTACCTACCTGTAGCTACCTACCCTAAATTTTTCCAACATATTGTTACATGAAACACATATTTTTTTGTCTGGCCTTCAATAATAAAAAGACAAAAAATCCCAGAAGAGCAGGATCGAGTAGAACTCGGTTACTCAGGGGCAAACTTTCAGTTAACCAATGTTGCCATCCAGGATTTAGAAAAGCACAGCACCAAAATGAGTGTAACCCTGGTAAATACTAGCACAATATATCGCTCGGCTAGCTAGAGAGAACTTCTCTTTAGCTAGAACGGTTGAGCGTAAGACTTAAGTAAGCCAGAGGTCCCAGGTTCAATCGATCCCTAGCGGAGGCAGTGATTTAAATTTAATCAATCATGCGCTCTGTTACATTGGCGACCACGTAGGGACCCGGGGAAAATGCTAGGCCTAGCTCCTCCACAAGCATCGCTGTTACCCCTGGAAAACTCAAGGAAGAGTTCTTTCCTGGAAGGGGAGTGTGTAACCCTTGTAAATACTAGCCGCAATATGTCGCTCGGCTAGAGAGAACTTCTCTTTAGCTCGATCGGTTCAGCGTAAGACTTAAGTACGCCAGAGGTCCCAGGTTCAATCCCTAGCGGAGGCAGTGATTTAAATTTAATTAATCATGCACTCTGTTACATTGGCGCCCACGTAGGGACCCGGGAAAAATACTCGGCCTTGCTCCACAAGCATCGCTGTTACCCCTGGAAAACTTAAGGAAGAGTTCTTTCCTGGAAGGGAAGTGTGTAACCCTGGTAAATACTAGCCGCAATATATCGCTCGGCTAGAGAGAACTTCTCTTTAGCTCGATCGGTTGAGCGTAAGACTAGTAAGCCAGAGGTCCCGGGTTCGATCCCATGCCGAGGCAGTGATTTAAATTTAATTAATCATGCGCTCTGTTACATGAGTGTCTAATGCACTAAGGCTTCAAAGTCTATGAAAATAACAAAGAACCATGAGGGATACATTATAACTTGACAGGGGAAGTTACTCTAAGCCAGAAAAATTCATTTTGGTTGCTACATCTGAATAGAAGAAGAAGCAACCAAAAGGAATTTCTGGAAAAGAAATGAGGAATGCAGCAGAACTGGACTAGGTCCATCGTAGCCGACCAGGTAGCTCAATTGGTTTAGCGTCTGTCTAGAGTGCGGAGAGATTTGGATTTGAACCCCAGTCTGGCTGTTGCATTTCTCTTTTTCCTGTTACAGAAAGATTAATCTAGTAGAAAAACCTCTGTGTAGAACTCTTCTTTGCATTTATAACTGATGAGGTGGTACCCGTCACCTTAAGTCTGTTCGATTCTTACTCTCGTGTAGTGACATAGGTCTTCAGGAGGGCGTCTACTTTTGCTTTCTCCTTTATTGATGTTAACTCTGATTGGTAGGCATCACGCTGCTGTTTCACACGAAACAGTTTCTTCTTCAGGTCTTCATTTTCAGCAGTGAGCTGAAATTATTAATAATGGTTAAAAAAAAAAAAATTGTCATGATTATAGTGATTAATGCTTGATAAAGCTAAATGTAAAGTCATAACACTGGAACATTAAAAACCTTTTTTTATAGGAATGTGTAATCGGTTTAAAATCATTATTGAAAACCAGTTTGTAATCAGAAGTAGTAAAACCGATCCATGATTAATTGCATATAATAAGTATCGGCTTATAATTTCATTGGACTGAATACCAAAATAAAGTGTAAAATGAATGGATTTCAAGCAATTTCTATGCAGTTTTATCAATCAGATAGCAAAAATCATAAGCATAAATGACTTTCAATGCAGAATTTACGTTGTACATTTGTATATGTACATTTGACATTTTGATTTCAACAATTCAAATGATTATGGAATTTCTAATCGATAAATAACTATAAAATATCGATGCCATCAAATGTAACTGCGGGCGGTCACCCATCCAACTTAACTGACCGCACTCGAGGTTGCTGAACTAGTGAGTGGGTCCCTATAGGTTTTACAGCATCACCAGGTAAGCTACAACCACCTCAACGACACAAATACATTAGTAAGAATCAACAATCAAAGCTACATCATTCGGCGCGACAAACCATTTCGGACCAAGGAGTCGTCTCCAAATTACATCATAAGATATAAGGAAAGGATAGAATAGATGACTCCAAACCACCTCCTGAGGGAAGGCAACTTCCCTCACGCCGACAGAACACTGACTTCCGTCAGTGAGATGAAACCTGTAAGGGTGGATTCATGTAGATGCGAAACCCGTCATCCATCCATCCATCCAAGGCAGCACAGAGTCACTATACGCTGCCACCAAATGTAAAGTCTGCGTGCGGTCTACCATCCAACTACTGACCGCACTCGACGTTGCTGAACTAGTGAGTGGCCGGGTCCCCGGGTTTTACAGCATCACTAGATAAGCTAGTTTCCAGTAAGGCAGCACAGAGTCACGCTGCCATAACTGTGTTTTTCAGACATTTGTAGCGTACTCCTGATTCCTGTGGAGCATTTTTTCAATTTCCCTGTCAGTCTGTCGAGTGTCAATTGTACAGATCTAACGCTAGACGTTAGAACAAGGCATCTGCATATGGTGTGTAAAAATATGAAAATACAAGAGATATTTTCCCTAACCTATTGACATAGCAGTGGCGGATCCAGAGGGGTTTTTTGGGCTTCAGGAAACCCCCCCACCCTGAGAATTTTCTTTAAAAATCATGTATTTTCACCATTTTCCTCAATTTTTCCCCACATGGAAACCCCCCCCCAGGAAATTTGGAAACCCCCCAAGATAGGTCTCTGGATCCGCCACTGCATAGTCAGATAGTAGGGTACTGTACTAGTAGGGAAAACAACTTTATATTTGCATTCAGCTGGAGAAGGTAGGCCTAACTAGCAGAAGATATTATTGCAACGTGTCAACTGTCTAGACATGTCTACCCTGAATAACAGTGTGTTACAAAGAAAGCTTCGCTGCAATGGTGATGCACGTTCATATTTACCTTTATGCATGTGTGTATGTCGGGAAATGACATGTCAACAAACTGACAGTCCTGACAGTTTCGAATCTTTGCACCAACATGTCAGTTTCAGTCGTTTCTAAAGCTCCGGACGGAAAACGGAACGGCAAGAAACGGAGATTATTTTTGCTGTTAATAAAAGGAATGTTTTGCAACTTTGTCGAAGTGACCGAACCATTTGAAACATTTCGCTGATGCAAACAAGCGAAAATAAGAAATGAACATAAACCTAAAAATTAAAAAAAAATGTTGACGCAACAATATATACACGTTCCATAACTCCTAAAAAACATTTTGATGCAAGCGACAGTATCACGTCAGTATGTGTAATGTGTGAGTTCAATATGTGTTATGTATGACGTCAGTATGTGTAAATGTGTGAGTTCAATATGTGTTATGTGTGAGTTCAGTACATGTTATGTGTGAGTTCAATATGTGTTATGTGTGAGTTCAGTATATGTTATGTGTGAGTTCAATATGTGTAATGTGTGAGTTCAGTATATGTTATGTGTGAGGTCAGTATATGTTATGTGTGAGTTCAATATGTGTTATGCATGAGTTCAGTATGTGTTATGTGTGAGTTCAATATGTGTTATGCATGACGTCAGTATGTGTTATGTGTGAGTTCAATATGTGTTATGTATGAGTTCAGTTTATGTGTTATGTATGACGTCAGTATGTGTTATGTGTGAGTTCAATATTTGTTATGTGTGAGTTCAGTATGTGTTATGTGTGAGGTCAGTATGTGTTATGTGTGAGTTCAATATGTGTTATGTGTGAGTTCAATATGTGTTTTATGTGAGTTCAGTACGTGTTATGTGTGATGTCTATATGTGTATGTTATGTGTGAAATCAGTATGTGCTATATGTGTGAGGTCAATTGTGAGGTCAGTATGTGTGAGGTCAGAATGTGTGAGGTCAGTATGTTTTATGTGTGAGGTCAGTATGTGTTATTTGTGAGCTCAGTATGTTTTATGTGTAAGGTCAATCGGTTATGTGTAGGTTAAGTATGCATTATGTGTGAGGTCAGTATGTGTTATACGTGAGGTCAGTATGTGTTATATATGTTTGATGTCAAATGTGTTATGTGTGAGGTCAGTATTTGTTATGTGTGAGGTAAGAATGTGTTATGTGTGAGGTCAGTATGTGTCATGTGTAAGGTCAGTATTTGTTATGTGTGAGGGTGGTATACATTTTGTGTGAGTTCAGTATGTGTTATGTGTGAGGTCAATATGTGTTATGTGTGAGTTCAATATGTGTTATGTGTGACGTCAGTATGTGTCATGTGTGAGGTCAGTATATGTTATGTGTAAGCTCAGTATGTGTTATGAGTGAGGTCAGTATGTTTTGTGTGTGAGGTCAGTATGTTTTATGTGTGAGGACAGTATGTGTTATGTGTGCGGTCCGTGTGTGTTATGTGTGAGATCAGTATATGTTATGTGTAATGTCAGTATGTGCTATGTATGACGTTAGTATGTGTTATGCGTGAGGTCAGTATGTATTAAGTATGACGTCAGTATGTGCTATGTATGACGCCAGTATGTGTTATGTGAGAGTTCAATAAGTTTTATGTGTGAGTTCAGTACATGTTATGTGTGAGTTCCGTATGTGTTATGTGAGAGGTCAATATGTGTTATGGGTGAGTTCAATATGTGTTATGTGTGAGATCAGTATATGTTATGTGTGAGGTCAATTGGGAGGTCAGTATGTGTAATGTGTAAGGTCAGTATGTGCTATGTATGACGCCAGTATGTCTTATTTGTGGCGTCAGGATGTGTTATGTGTTAGGTCAATATGTGTTATGGGTGAGTTCAATATGTTGTGTGAGTTCAATATGTATTATGTGTGAGGTCAATTGGGAGGTCAGTATGTGTCATGTGTGAGGTCAGTCTGTGTTATGTGTGAGCTCAATATGTGTTATGCGTGAGTTCAATATGTTATGTGTGAGGTGAGTATGTGTTATGTGTGCGGTCCGTGTGTGTTATGTGTGAGATCAGTATATGTTATGTGTAAGTTCAGTATGTGTTAGGTGTGAGGTAAGAATGTGTTATGTGTGACGTCAGTATGTGCTATGTATGACGCCAGTATGTGTTATGTGTGAGTTCAATATGTGTTATGTGTGAGTTCAAAATGTTTTATGTGTAAGTTAGTATGTGTTATGTGTGAGGTCAGTATGTGTTATGTGTGAGTTCAATATGTGTTATGTGTGAGTTCAATATGTGTTATGTATTACGTCAATATGTGTTATGTGTGAGTTCAATATTTTTTATGTGTGAGTTCAGTATATGTTATGTGTAAGGTCAGTATGTGCTATGTATGACGTCAGTATGTGTTATTTGTGGAGTCAGTATGTGTTATGTGTGAGGTCAATATGTGTTATGTGTGAGTTCAATATGTGTTATGTGTGAGTTCAATATGTGTTATGTGTGAGTTCAATATGTGTTATGTGTGAGTTCAGTATGTGTTATGTGTGAGTTCAGTATGTGTTATGTGTGAGGTCAGTATGTGTTATGTGTGAGTTCAATATGTGTTATGTGTGAGTTCAATATGTGTTATGTGTGAGGTCAGTATGTGTTATGTGTGAGTTCAGTATGTGTTATGTGTGAGTTCAATATGTGTTATGTGTGAGTTCAATATGTGTTATGTGTGAGTTCAATATGTGTTATGTGTGAGTTCAGTATGTGTTATGTGTGAGTTCAGTATGTGTTATGTGTGAGGTCAGTATGTGTTATGTGTGAGTTCAGTATGTGTTATGTGTGAGTTCAATATGTGTTATGTGTGAGTTCAATATGTGTTATGTGTGAGTTCAATATGTGTTATGTGTGAGTTCAATGTGTGATGTGTGAGTTCAGTATATGTTATGTGTAAGTTCAGTATGTGTTATGTGTGAGGTCAGTATGTGTTATGTGTGAGTTCAATATGTGTTATGTGTGAGTTCAATATGTGTTATGTGTAAGTTCAGTATGTGTTATGTGTGAGGTCAGTATGTGTTATGTGTGAGTTCAATATGTGTTATGTGTGAGTTCAATATGTGTTATGTGTGAGTTCAATATGTGTTATGTGTGAGGTCAATATGTGTTATGTGTGAGTTCAATATGTGTTATGTGTGAGTTCAATATGTGTTATGTGTGAGTTCAATATGTGTTATGTGTGAGTTCAATATGTGTTATGTGTGAGTTCAATATGTGTTATGTGTGAGTTCAATATGTGTTATGTGTGAGTTCAATATGTGTTATGTGTGAGTTCAATATGTGTTATGTGTGAGTTCAATATGTGTTATGTGTGAGTTCAATATGTGTTATGTGTGAGTTCAATATGTGTTATGTGTGAGTTCAATATGTGTTATGTGTGAGTTCAATATGTGTTATGTGTGAGTTCAATATGTGTTATGTGTGAGTTCAATATGTGTTATGTGTGAGTTCAGTATGTGTTATGTGTGAGTTCAATATGTGTTATGTGTGAGTTCAATATGTGTTATGTGTGAGTTCAATATGTGTTATGTGTGAGTTCAGTATGTGTTATGTGTGAGTTCAGTATGTGTTATGTGTGAGGTCAGTATGTGTTATGTGTGAGTTCAGTATATGTTATGTATGACGTCAGTATGTGTTATGTATGACGTCAATATGTGTTATGTGTGAGTTCAATATTTGTTATGTGTTAGGTCAGTATGTGTTATGTGTGAGGTCAGTATGTGTTATTTGTGGCGTCAGTATGTGTTATGTGTTAGGTCAATATGTGTTATGTGTGAGTTCAATATGTGTTATGTGTGAGTTCAATATGTGTTATGTGTGAGTTCAATATGTGTTATGTGTGAGTTCAGTATGTGTTATGTGTGAGTTCAGTATGTGTTATGTGTGAGTTCAGTATATGTTATGTGTGAGTTCAGTATGTGTTATGTGTGAGGTCAGTATGTGTTATGTGTGAGTTCAGTATATGTTATGTATGACGTCAGTATGTGTTATGTATGACGTCAATATGTGTTATGTGTGAGTTCAATATTTGTTATGTGTTAGGTCAGTATGTGTTATGTGTGAGGTCAGTATGTGTTATTTGTGGCGTCAGTATGTGTTATGTGTTAGGTCAATATGTGTTATGTGTGAGTTCAATATGTGTTATGTGTGAGTTCAATATGTGTTATGTGTGAGGTCAGTATGTGTTATGTGTGAGGTCAGTATGTGTTATGTGTGAGTTCAATATGTGTTATGTGTGAGTTCAATATGTGTTATGTGTGAGGTCAGTATGTGTTATGTGTGAGTTCAGTATATGTTATGTGTAAGTTCAGTATGTGTTATGTGTGAGGTCAGTATTTGTTATGTATGACGTCAATATGTGTTATGTGCGAGTTCAATATTTGTTATGTGTGAGTTCAGTATATGTTATGTGTAAGGTCAGTATGTTTTATGTGTGAGGTCAGTATGTGTTATGTATGACTTCAGTATGTGTTATGCGTAAGGTCAGTATGTGTTATGTGTAAGGCCAGTATGTGTTATGTATGACGTCAGTATTTTTTATGTATGACGTCAGTATGTGTTATGTATGACGTCAGTATGTGTCATGTGTGAGGTCAGTATTTGTTTTAAAAATTCAAACTGATCGTTATCAGAAGCAAATATATGTACAGTGGGTGAAATAATGGATTTCGTCCAGAACTATAAACTAAGTAAAACGGGAACAGCGTTATGAAAGTCAAGTAAGTAAGAATGTCGCACATTTGTAAAAAGTCCCTATTCGGGTCCTGGTTTGTGTCGCCTTTCACACTTTAGCTGTTTATAATGTCTGTCACATAGTTTAGTTTACACCCGAGTTTGACACTCGGATATGAGGATGGTGTAAAATTATTCGAGGTTAATTCTACGGTTATTTGAGTTTACTAGAAATGCAACACACAAAAAAACTAGACAAAAAAAATATGGAGAAAAAATAAGTAAAAATCGAAGTCCTTGGAAGGAACGCTGAAAGGGTGATAACAGTATATTGAATGCTGAATATGGAGGCGACAGGAGACAGTCGAACGCTAAAGGGAGCAGGCATAAGTAGTGAACGTTGAAGCGAGATGGAAGCATTACTTTGAATTTTGGAAGAAAGTG